TTCTGTAGTCATCATTTTATAAAATACACAATAATACAAGACTGATTCGTGTTACTCATAATGAGTGCCCACTGTGCATTGCGACTTGCGTGTTACACAACATCGTCGCGATGGTACGTTAAAAAAAGCTTTTCCATAGAGACTCAAGTTTTAACACTATTTACATTTTTTTAAGATAAATCTTACTTGACTTCTTATTAGTTGCTATACAAAAATTATTCTACAGTAAACGAGTTAGGAAGTCTAATAAATAATAATTATTCTACTCCAAATTACTATCTTATTTCTCGATTTCGATTTTTAAATGGCGGGCCACTACTCAAATACTTACAATAATTTATTTTTAAATTCAAATTCCTCACATATATTACAGTTTTTACTCAATGACGAGAATTCACCCGTTCACTGAACACCTTCTGTTAGCTGCAGAGAGCTGCATATTACATACTTTTCCACTTTTTTATATTTATAGGTATGGGTATACCTACCAAGAATTTTTTTTCTATAGATATTTAAAGTTTAAATTTGAACAAAATTAGATATTTAAACGAAAAACAACAATTTCAATTATTTTATGGTAAATAAAAAATATTCTTTTTCTATATTCAGATACATTTTTAAAAAATTCACCCTTAAAGAGGTTTAAATATTTTTTTTAATGTTGATTACATTCTTTAAGTCAAGTTAGGTATCTTGAAATTATATTACAAGATTCCACACAAGTTTTCTTTTGGTAATTTTAAAGTATTTAAAATACATAATACTTACCATCTTTCGACAAGAATTTGAATTTCAAACGTCGTCAAAATTGGTCATAATTCACATATTATTTTGTAAAAACCTTTTTTGTATACCTTAAACTTGAACATATTTATTATAAGGTTTCCTATTAGTACATCTTATTGAAACTCAAATATCTAAAAAAAAGTTACTATCTAATCTGCATTTCTAACAGTACAATAATATTAATATAAATATATTGTAGTAAAATATACATAGTAGGTACTACTACAGTTGTATAGTAATTCGAAATATAGGATAACGTGTCCGTTCAGAATGGTTTCTCGTAATTGGCAAAACGGTTTATCATTGAATACACATTTAATGAATCGATCATAATGACCTACTCTATGACGATGTGTAGGTACTATCGAAACGTACTGTACAATTATATAGAGTGGTTACCTACTTTCCCACTTTTATATTTTATCGATAGTCAAAATATTTTTGTACAGAATACATTTTGATTGTTGATTATTAAAATAATATTTTACGTCCAATTTTAATTACAGACATTTATCCACTATACTAATAAAACTAGGCACAAATGACTTGCAGACTGTCGGAGCAAATCGGAGAGGTTAGTCTGCTGATAAAATAATAACCTTTTCACTTAAAAAATATTATCTTAAAGTAGTGGGCAACTTTATAAACTAGAAATGTGTATTATGTTATAGTTAAAGACCGGATTTTTTTTTGTGCAGCTAACACATAAAACGTTCAATTAAAATGCTGAAATGTTCAAAATCGTGCAAAAACCAAATTTTCACTATAGATACTTCAAATTTTATTTTTAATGCTATTAATTTGTATAATAATAATACATTTTGTATAAATTAAAAATAAACTGATTTACAATGTTTGATTTAAATTCATTATCATGTAAATTTCCAAGTTTTTTCTATGAAATTATGACTTCTGCCACTTAATATGTGTTTTAACTGTGAAAACACAAGGTTCTACGTCGACACTTGTAATCGGGCTTATAATAGCAGGATCTTCTTTTAAATCTAGATGATTTCAATTTATTGTGTCTTTGTGTAGATTTAAAATATTGTATCCTGGATTTTTATCAAATACTGATTTGAATTTTTTCAATTTTTTTATTCGTCCCTTTTCGTTCTCAATTGTATGTGTTATAAGCAGTAATACGGTGAGGAGCTTTTAAAAACATTTTTTTCCCCATTATTTACTAGCTTATACCTGGGGAGATGTCTCTAACTTTTCGCCCACACGGCCATGGGAAACGCACGTTATATGAATCATATTAGAATACAATTTTTTTAATGCGCCTCTAGTTTTTGCCATACATGACATGGCATCATTGATAAACAGCAGAATTTTGTCTTGATAATATAACGCGTCTCTTACAATATAGGTACCATTACTAATAAATGCGTTTAGTATCATTTAATATTTTCAATCAAATAACTGATTTATTAAATGTATAAACTTGTAATAAATCACTACTTATGTACTAAGCATGTTGGTACTTATATGTAATATGTATGGTTTTTGTTGGATTGTTTGTATTGGTTAATATGTTAGGAGTATGGGAGCAAAACCCCTATGACTATATTTTGTTTTAGAATATTTAAACCACCCTAATATTCTCCCGATCTCCGTTTATATTTTTCTTCCTTTTAGACCTAAGTCATATAAGTTTCCACTTCCCACACATTATACACACTTTATTCCTGTTTTCCATCCTTTCACTAGGTATATTATATAATGTGTTACTGAAGGGATCTCTGACCTACGGGCTGAGTTCCGCCGGTTCCAGACCGTAAAGCTCATTTATACTTATGTTTTGAAAATATATTAGTTTTTATTGTTTTTAATATATTGATTATTAAAAATAATTCTTATATATACTCAACTTAATTACCACTTTGTCTCTACCTAAAAACTGTTGGCCGGCTATGCCGATCACAGATTTGGCACGCCGTAAAAAAGTTTGGAGACCCCTATGGCTAACGTGTTTAGGAAAAATACAAATTTCAGGGAAACCTAGGATTTATCGGTAAATCCTAAAATTTCCTGACTACTGTCGTTAATAGGTAAAACTTAGAATACAAAAAATAGTTTGGTCTGATAACACTTAGAAAGCCTAAAAATTAAAAAAAATTAGTGTGATATTTTTCCAGGTTTTATACAATAATATTATTTATTAATTTTCCAAAAAAAAATTATTGAGGTAGGTGTATAAGGTGAATACCTAGTAAAGTATAAATTATTATTGTTATGACTACAAATTTATATTATTATTGAATACTTCTGCAAGAATTGAAATTATTATATGCAGCAAGTTTACTGTGACTGGGAATTTTTATTTTGACAGTAATATAAATTATTATTAAGAAAGTTGATCTTGGTACGTGTACCTTAGTGGCGCGGAAGTCCATGTTAATGTCATAACTTTATTATGAGCATGAGTATATTTGAGACATGATTATAAGCACCTAAATTTACATTATGTAATTAAGATATTGAAGTTAATATTATTAAAGTTTTGAAATTGCCCGACCACAGTGGCACAGTTTAAAAACTTCGGCGCTACTGGCGTACCTACTCATACAATCAATAAAATATCCAAAAAGGTAAGTATGTGATACAATTTGTTCATACCTACTTAACAATTTACACTCTGCTGTTGTATAGACAACTTAATTTATCATAATATTTACCATATCTATTATGGGAATGAAGGTCGATTGATATATCCAGACCCATTGTATAATAATGAGATTAGCAAGTTCAGTTTATTATTCCCAAAAAACGTTTTACCAAAACTTCAAACAGAAGATGATTTAGAGATAGTGCTAACAAAACCAAATGCAAATTCAGTTGAAGCCGGAACAGCCGGCCTAAATTCCATGCCGACACAACATAAAATAATAATGAAAAAAAATAAGTGAAAAAATTGACCATATTAGAATATATGCTCAAATTGATTACATATAATATTGTCAATATAATTAGGTAGGTATTGTTTTATTTAAAATGTTGTCGGCAATGCCATTTAATAATAATGCTAACTTTTCTGCACACATAATTCTATTCATTTCACTACAATAGGTTCAGTTTGGTGAAATTCTCACTTGGATATAATACTATTTCAATCTAGAAACTAATCAGCTGCGAAAAACTTGTAAAAAAAAAATGAAGTTGTCCTCATACGTGCATCATAAATGAATGTATGGGTACATGGCATGCAATTCGGACAAACCCCCTTAAGAGATGGCATGAAATTCGAATTTTTTTTTTGGCATGAATTTTTATGCGCCCATTACATGCTTGCAGTACATGCCTGATACCAACTATATATTTATATTATGTTAAACGTACTTCTTCTTCTGGCCGTAGCTAGTAAGCTATAATAATTGGTACCTATTGTAAATTGTGTTGTACATAACATAGCATTATCCTTAAATATGGTAGGCGGAAAAAAGTCCACGAAAAAAAGCCCGGAAAAAAATAATTAAATATAAATGTGAACACATTCACCTATATACTCTGCTCCTAATTATTAATTAATAATTCATAAATTATTACAGTCAATGTAGGCAATTTTATACGCGGATACTTAATTAATAGGAAACATTTATTTTTTCCTATTTATTCAATACAAAATTTAAAATATAAATAATTTTATGTCTGAATATGGTTTATACAACTATTCATTATATACAGTAAAACTTCCATATAACGAATTTTAAACATAGTTCTAAAATTGTACATGAACAATGTATCCGATAAAAATTAGACACCGAAGGTAGGCAAACTGATTAATTTTACTGCAGTATTTCAGTTCCGATATTGCAGATGCAAACTAGTGCACATACGAATTATTTTTCTCTTCGTCCGTACAAAAAAATGTCAAAACGTAAATGTTTATCCATCGCCGATAAATTTGAAATTTTAAACGAAGTCGATAAAGGTGTTAAAAAAAAGATATTGCCGAAAAATATGGTATTCCAACAAGTTCTTTATCAACCATTTTGAAAAACCGCGAAAACATTACCTGCAAGTAAATGCCAAATTCTTCTCTCCTCAGCAATAGAAAACGAATGAAAATCTGCGTGTACATGTTTTTTACACAACATTATATACAAGTGTACAACATAGAAGTATATATATATATATACATTAGGGTGGTACTTAAAATTCAATATGAGAAATGTTAAAATTAAAATAATTTTGTTCTCAATACCCGGCTCAAAATTTGCAGTGCTTACGTTATCCCAAAATAGTTTAAACCGTCTAAAAATTGGTACTTCTGGTCCAGAAGTTGACCCGAATTTTGCATCAAAAATGCTTTTTAGAACGATTTCATACATGTGACGCCGGCAGGGTAGGTATAAAATTTTAGAACACGCGTTCCCTTAAATACGCCAGTGTTAGAAACTTAGAAGCCATAGTATCACAGCAAAAAGCTTGAACTTTTGCCGTGGTACACCAATCATTTGGTAAATAAAATATTCCATTAGCCTGTTCTATTGCTGTTCCAGAATCTGCAGCTGGCACTCCAAGTAGGTAATTGTTCATTACCATTACCAAGATGCAATGACAGGGAGCCTGTCTATATGTTTTTTACCTATATCAATGCTGGTAATAGTTTCCCGTCCCAATGAACAATTACTGAATCACCGCGAGATAATGTATACTCTTTACGTATGTTATCTGCCCGCGCTTTTCGAAATGATAAACGGGAAATTCTTATTGAGGTTTCAATTAATAATTAATTCATTAGCATCGTTACCCAACGCTTCAGCACAGGCAATTAAAATATGCACTGCGTTCCTATCGCTAATTTTACATTGGTCTAGTGCATCGGCAAGTTTTGGTGTCATTATTTCAACATTACCTTTTTTTCTCCCTGTTAAACTTTCATTCTGCCGAGACGGACCTGGCTTTTCAAAATCATCTTTTTCACTTGATTCGTCATCTGAGATCACGTCATTATTTACAAATTCATCTAAAATGTAAAATGTAAAACGTATTGTGTTATCTATGTATAGTTAAAATTTAAATTTGTGTAATGTTATTAATATCACTTACGAGTAATTTCCAATTCTTCATATGTTCTTTTTTTTCTTTCGCTATTCATTCTTATCCGTTCATCAAATCTTTTTTCTTTATAATAAGTATTTAAATCAATTCCAAGCATGCTTCCGGGGGGACCATGTTGTCTCTGGGATACTGAAAAATCCCTATCTTCTTGACTTCTAATTAAATCTAAGGCATTAACAACCTCTATATCAAATATATCTTCCAATTTCGAGTAAAATAATTCAATTTTTTTCGTTTGTGTTTCTGTACGTCTCTATGTTGTGATTTCTGTAGTTCTCTCCATTCAAAATACAAATGTTGTCACTTATTCATACAATATCGTTCAGCACTGATTGGAATACGAGCCTTCTGCCAAAAATTACTACTTCCTGTACTACTAATTTTGAACTTTCTTTCAAATTTATTTTGACTTTTCGCATGTTAAAAAAAGCACTGATAATACTTGTTTAATTGATGGTAATTTACTATCGACTATTTGAGAAGTTGGATAACCAATTAAATAAATAAAATTAGAATCACGTAGACAACTTTTTGACACCATTTTAAATATAAAAAAATCCATCGATATTCGAGGATGTATTATACTGTTGTCGGTTGAGTGCACTACTACAAAATATATTCGATTGCCACATTTATTAATACAGTATAAGCACTATTGCTGTTATTATCAAATGTACGATAAGTTTATCTTTTCATAAAATATGTATAGTAAATATAGGTATACTTGCAGTTATTACCTGTAGATAACTAGTTGTAAGATTATAAATTTGATTACTTTATTACGAAAATAAACAATCTACAACATTTATACGACACATTTTTGTACAACACAAACAGTTCGTCTAAAATATAAAAATTAATAAAATATTTCGATTTTGCCGAAAAACATAAAAATATGTATTCTTTCCTATTTTTGCATTTAAATATTAGATTTTTGACTTTTTATGTAAGAATAACTTTTATAGAATATAAAAAGATAAACAAATAAAATTGTGACATATTTTTTGTCATTTTCACAGTTTTCGAGATAAATAGAAATAACCAAAAAACTACCCTCCCAGTCGAACTTTCAACCCTCTCGCGGCACGAGTTAACTTCAACCGATTGACCTGAAACTTTGTACATATGATCTCTACCTATATTCGACCAAATTTGGGTATTTTAATTTCAAAAAAATTGTCATTTTTTTTTGCCCTCTAGACAAAGACCACCCTAATTTACATACAATAAAGTTTTAAAAAAAAGTTGAAAAGAGTACGTAATTCTATTTAACGAATTCCTCCATAGTACGATTTTTTTTGCTGCTTATTTTACTTCGTTATATGGAAGTTTCACTGTACAAAAAACAACCTGAAATAGTAAAAAAAAATTAAATATAAATGTGAACACATCTATAAATAATATACAGTGTTATAGGTTATACTTATAAGTCAAAATCATCAGAGGTATAAGTATAACATCTTAGATATATACATACTACATTTATAAAAAAATTATACATGATAATAATTGATGACACTATTTTCATTATAATATATTATATTTTGTTATGGGTATACTTACTCTACACGGTAAATACTAATTACTAATTAGGAGTAGAGTGCACAAGTGATGTTCACATTTTTATACTTAATTTTTTTGAGGGGGCTTTTTTTTGTGGTTTTTTTCGGCGATTCTCTTAAATATACAATGTACTGGCTACTACATAATGAAGTTAAACTGTTTGAAAGACAATTTAAAATCTTAAATTTCATATTTTTCCTTTTTTGTTCAGCCATTGCCATTTTCAACCCTTTGTTTCCAACTGCACTATAGTGCAGAGTGCAGAGTGCAGAATAAATGATAATATATGACATGTTATAGGTATACAATATGTACATTACATGGGTAGGTGGGTATTAAGGAAACAAACATTTTTTTTTGTATTTTTATTTATTCATCAAGTTCCCAGAAAATGTATAAAAAAAAAAAAATAACAACAATAATAAAAGACGATATCGAATAAATCATATTTCGTAGGATAAAGGGAACTCCCCTTCCACAATAAACGGATCGAACCGCCGATTACAAAAAAAAAAAAAAAAAGAAAGAAATCAACACTGCTGCACTGTGCGGCGGCTCCGGTGCAACAGGGTTCGGTCGGCGCGGGCAGAAACAACGGACCGTCGCGCGGCTTCACACGGATAATAATATTCGGCCGTCCCACCCCCGCCCCCGCGCCGACCACCATAATACATATAATTTGGTCGCACACTGCACACACACACACACACACACACACACACACGACTGTTGATTGTATATTTACTGCGTGTGTGTGCGTGTATTGTCTGTGCGTATTGGCGCCACCTCCTCCGACAGCGGCGGTACCTATTTATGTAAACCGTATACACACACCTGTACGAGCGCATTCATATATCATGTACACAATATTATTATTATTATTATTATTATTATTATCATTATTGTCCGTCTCTTTTCACCTCACAAAGAAAACGACAATATTTTACGCGCATTATTATATTATATTATTATTACCATCAATGTCTTATATATATATATATATATATATATTATAAACAGGTACCACGCCGCTGTGATTTCGCGGGGTTCGAGTGCACGCGAAAAAAAATTAAAAATCACACGGCGCGCGCACACATCCACCGCAGACCGGCCCGAGGTCTTGTCATATTATAATAATAATTATTATTATTATGATCATTATAATAATATTCGTTTCGTTTTGTGTTTCCCGCATATTGCATATATTATTATTATTATTATTATTATTATTATTGTTATCTGTATTATATTCCTACGGCCTACGTCACGATGTTCTTATAATATTATTGTTGTGCGCGAGGTGTAATTCATCCGGCGACGACGGATGCGCGACGGACGATGGTCTAAAATAATACAATATGATATAATATTATGTTGTATGTATTTTTTTTTTTTTTTTCATATACCTATATACTTCGAAAAAGCCGCGGCAAACACGGCCATTATGGCTGTCACAATATGTTTTATCATTTGTACATCACATTTCGGTATTTTACTATTACACACCATACGGTAAATGCGATGCGCCTATGACCTATCTACATATTATTATATTATGTGCCTACTTTACATAATATACTTAGGTACCAGATATTATGCGCTATAGCCCGCCTATTGTGTTGGGAATCATGGTTTTTTTTTTTATTCAATGAAATGTCCTCCGGTATCGTGGCTATTTGAAGTCCTTATATTTTTTTTTTTTTTATTAATATTTTTACATTTTTAATGGAAGATGACGTTTTTTTTTTAAGTGAATTTTAATAAAATAATTATAAACTTACAGCGGCTTTGTCATATTAATTTGCCCAATCCATACTGATGCGGGAAAGATATACCGAGCCGAGTATCGGAAGTTCAGGTGTCAAGTCCAAGGGTTTCGGATATTCGGTTTTTGTCGATTGATTCGATGTAGCTGACACACATTTGGCAAGTGCAATATATTTGTTCGGTGGAGAGTATGACATCGCACGACTTACATATTATACGACTCACGAGATACCAAGTTATAACCGTGGGCGAGTTTAGTAGGACCTATTCAAAGTCTGTTGATCTCAGTTTCCTTGATGAGCGATGAGCGAAGTGTTATTTATGGTGGTTGAGACTTGAGGATGCTGCAGTGTATTAATATTAATATCCTTGGCGTGTACGTCGACTTTTTCGTTACCTTCGACTAATGAGTAATGAGTGACCTAGCTGGTACCCACATAAGTTTTAATCATTGTTAGATGCCTTTATTTTCAATTGTCGTATTTTAATTTGTGTGTTATTTTTATTATCACGACGGGCTGATATGGCGGGTATAAATCGTGGTCTTCAAAAGTATAATAGTGAGTTTACCAATCGCACTTAAGATGACCTTTTAACTGGAATTGCTCGCAAAATGTTTAAGGCCGATAAGACTATAGCTCCTTTCAAGGTTGATAGACCAATATTGTGTCCAGTCATATTCAGCTTTGATATAGACCAATTTCGCTCCGTCATCTTCAGGGCTGATAAACCAATAAATTATTGCGTGAAATAGTATCCGTTGGCCATTTAAATTAAATATATTATGTAAGTAACCACTCTAGTGTCTAATGTGATTGAAGTCAACTGTGTGAATAGAAATTTGAAATTCATAGAAGATATTATTTATTGATTTTATCATAGAATTCATTTAAGATGGGTTTTTTAGGAATTCAACCCTTATTATTGGGGTGAAATGGGGTGGCAAATTGTGTATTGGAAATAATATTCTTACAGTCATATTATTTCTTGAAACTCGGTTAGCCTAAACCCGCTTCTTTACTCATCAACACTGACCATAAAACAAATTACCATAATATGCGAGTGAAGCAGTGGAAAAAGGCTAGTATTTGTATTATGTATATAACGAACTAACCCGGTCGTTACACCCATTTGCCGGCAATTATTTTATTGTTTTGCTCCTCGAAAAAGTGCATTTTTTCTTGTTTTTGTATCGAGCCTCTCAATATCGGTGTACTGACCGTAGAACATAGGGAACGCAATATTGGTATAATATTAAAGTCACATAGGTACCATAAATATAGAGCATGCTCGCGTAGGCAAGTATAATGGGTACCTAGTATCGATATAGTATTTAGACGAAATTAGTATTCGGAATATATTATACAGTGTCTGATGGGTACTTTATGGTAATCTATAAATATATTATTCGTATGACGTAAAATTGAATGCCATTAAAATGTTTCAAGTATTACGTCCAGACATGCGTATAAATGAGGGGATACCGAATATTGTCGAGAGCGGGACACGAGTTTGCAGTATACGCGCATGTACGCACATTTGCACATATATACCGGGTAAGTGGTAACTATAATATATGTATTGCGCAGTACCTACGTACAATAAACGGTGTTGAAATTGTAACTGTCCGCTACACACACGGCATACGACGATTAGAAAAGAGACGTCTGTTTAGCATAATATTACACAGGTAGGAGGTAGGTACGTAATTGAAGGTTGAGAATATTATTCAAGACGGTCCTGTATGCGTTGCGTCCATATACTACACGTGTATTCAAGTGCCCGGTGACCGGCGTTGAATGAAACAATATACTCATTCAGAAGATGAAAAAATACTCTCTGGAGTATCCAAATATTAAGTACCTATACAGCATTCAGAATACTGTTATAGTATTACCCATCCGATCGCCTGTCCGTAGCGTGGTATATACTTCTCTCCGCGGTGCAGAGACGACAAGAATGCTCGCGGTCACGCCACATTACAGGTAGTTGATGTCAAAACGAAAATAGGTAGGCATGTTGTTTACGTCACAGCATAATATAATAATGTATAGAACATAAATAGTGCGTAACGCTCACCTATGTAATATTTACTTGTTTCTATTATATATACAGAATGATTATCTTAACAGCCAACACTTATATTATTATACCTAGGAAACTATTAACGTTCATGAACATTTTATTCTCTCTGCATAATTTGACATCATCGTAAAACATTTAATTTTAGAAAAATATTTTTAATTAAT